AATAGAAAACCTGTTCGAAGAAATAATGACAGAAAATTTCCCTGACTTTGGGAAGAAAAAAGTCACACAAGTCCAAGAAGCACACAGAGTCCCAAACAAAATGAACCCCAAAAGACTGACACATTGTAATTAAACTGGCAAATGTCAACAACAAAGTAAGAATCTCAAAGGCTGCCAGAAAGAGACAGAAAGTTACCTACAAGGGACCTCCCATTAGACTATCAACTAATCTCTCAACTGACACACATCAGGTCAGAAGGGAATGGGATGAAGTATGCACAGTTATGCAAAGCAAGGGACTAAATCCAAGAATACTCTATCCAGCAAGGCTATCATTCAAAATTAAAGGTGAAATCAGGAGCTTTGTAGACAAAAAAAAAAAAAAGACTAAGGGAGTTTTTTACCACCAAGCCAGCAATGCAAGAAATGCTAAAGGGACTGTTATAAAAGTAAAGAAATAGAAAGCGAAGAAGTAATACGGGCATAAAGAATAAAAACGGCAACAAACAAGTACCTATCAATAATAACCTTAAATGGATTAAATGCTCTAATCAAAAGACATAGGGTAGCTGAATGGATAAGGAAACATGACCCAGGTTTTTTGGAAGATGGCGGCAATATAGGCAGATGCGTAAAAAAAAAAAGCTGGAGTACCCCAATACTAATATCTGACAAAACAGACCTCAAAGTGAAGGCCATCCTCTCCCCTCTCTTTCCCAACAGGGATGATAGTCTACCTCGGAATGATGTCGGGGGCCTTCGTCCTGGGGGGCCTGGCTGATAAGCTGGGGAGAAAGAGAGTCCTCAGCATGTCTCTGGCCCTCAACGCTTCCTTCGCCTCCATCTCCTCCTTCGTGCAGGGTTACGGGGCCTTCCTCTTCTGCCGACTCATCTCGGGCATCGGGTATGTAGTCTTGGCGCTTCAGCTGGACCCTCCTGGAACAATGGTCGGTCCTTCCTGGAACTCCAGCTATGAGCCGTACCTCCAAAAATCCCGGGACTGGGTGTTAGTCTGGATTCCAAGATACTGTATTGAAGTTACCCTCAGAAACTTACCCTCAGTTAAAGTCACTATAACATGACCCTGTCTCTACCAGGCTTTCTTTCTTTCTGTTTTTCAATCCTCACCCGAGGATATTTTTCCATTGATTTTTAGAGAAAGTGTTTTTTAGAGAGAGTGGAAGAGAAAGGGAAAGAGAGAGAGAAATATTGATGTGAGAGAAACACATCAATAGGTTGCCTCTTGCACATGCCCGACCATGTCCCGGGCTGGGGAGGAGCCTGCAACCGAGGTATGTGCTCTTGACCGGAATCAAACCCGGGACCCTTCTGTTCACAGGCTGATGCTCTACCCATTGAGCCAAACCGGCTAGGGCCTCAGCCTGTCTTTCAAATCCACATGGTTCTTTCACCACAGAGCCTATGGGTGGGGTAGAGGCCGCTTGGTTTCTGCGGTGACCATTGGTTCGCAACCTGTGGGTCGCGACCCCTTTGGGGGTCGAACGACCCTTTCACAGGGGGTGCCTAAGACCGTCGGAAAACACATATATAATTACATATTGTTTTTGTGATGAATCACTATGCTTTAATTATGTTCAATTTGTAACAATGAAAATACATCCTGCATATCAGATATTGACATGACGATTCATAACAGTAGCAAATTTACAGTTATGAAGTAGCCACGAAAATAATTTTATGGTTGGGGGTCACCACGACATGAGGAACTGTATGAAAGGGTCGTGGCATTAGGAAGGTTGAGAACCACTGGCTGTGACCATTTTTAGTGTGTGACTTGATTCTTTCCTTCTGGCATTTCCCCCCGCCCCTGCAGTATTGGTGGAGCTCTGCCCATTCCGTTTGCCTATTTCTCTGAATTCTTGTCTCGGGAGAAGCGAGGGGAGCACCTCAGTTGGTTGGGGATCTTCTGGATGACCGGGGGCATCTATGCGTCTGCCATGGCTTGGAGCATCATTCCGCACTATGGTGAGCGCTGGCTTCCATAGCCAGGGGCCCTGTTACTATGGCACCTGCACCCAAACGACATCTCCTGCCCCCATGCTTGCACATAGTTCCTGGGTATGACCGCGATCTTCCTAAAGAACCTCCAACACTGGAGACCCATTGGCTAATTTCGTTACGTGTTTCAGGAAATAATACAGTCTGTCCTCCCCGCACCCCCTCCCACCCACATCCCCTTCCTCCTCCCTAGGTCTCTCCTTTCCTTTTCTTTTTTCCTTCTTTTTTATTTGAAAGAATTTCACCTGTAATCTCCTTCAGCCATGGTCCCTTGAACAAGTGAGGCTCCGGTAATTCCATTTTACAGATGAGGCAACAGAAGCCAAGAGAAGTTGATGACTTAGCTAAGGTTACCTGGCATGACCTTGAATCCTGATGCTGCCTCACCATCCCCAGCCCCTAGGCAGGACTCTTGTAGACAAGAATAGCTCTTT